TTACCACTGAGCTATACTCCCAGTCTCATGAAGTTTTGGTTTGTTTGTTTAAAGAAGGATAAGCTAATAAGTACATGAACTGGAGGAATGGCTCAATTGGTAGAGTGCCTGCTTTGTAAGCATGAAGCCCTGAGTTCAAGCCCCAGTCTCACTTTAAAAAAAAAAAAGAACATGGCTCCTTAATAAGTACAGTGGTGCAGGCCTGTAATCACAACTACTCAGGAAGCTGATGCAGGAGGATTCCAAGTTCCAGGCCTGCCTGGTAACTTAGTGAGACCCTGTCTCAAAAAAATAAAAATAAAATAGGGCTGGGGATGTAGCTCAGTGGTAGAGTGCTTGCCTAGCATGTGCTGAGGCCCTGGATTCAATCCTCAACACCATTTAAAAACAAACAAACAAAAAAACGGGACAAGCCCTAAGAAAATTATAGGGGGCTGGAGGCATGGCTCAAGTTGTAGAGTACTTGGCAAGCAAGCACATGGCGAGGAAAGAAAAAAAAAAAATCATATGTATTATGACAAGCCTTATAGGTATTTGTATGACCCAACTCCTTTTCTTACATCTCCATCTGAAACAGGTAGAAGAAAGCAAAGCAATGTAACAAAAAACAAACTTTTCAATTGTGGTGAGTTGAATTTAGGTCTTTGAGTGATAAATAATTTATCCCACTGATAACAATAACCATTTCAAATGTCATTGCCAGGTGCTTCAGATACATTTTCACAGAAGTAAAAATGTTATGGTATTTGCAGTGAAGACTGTTAGCAAATTACACAGCAAATAAAGCACTGACTACACAATAACCCCTCCCTTCATAGTAAAAACACTTTGCTGCTCCACTACTAAATTTTCTGCCTGAGGATATTCACAATGATTTTCTTATTATTACACATTCTCCTTCAACAAAATATACAGAGCCTGACACCACTGTCTACTTTTTATCTACAGAAGTTGCAAAAGAATCAACACAAATGTAGCCACAGGAGACAAACAGATACCTCATGGTGTCTGTGGAATCTAGCCAGGCCTCAGCTCACATCCTGCCAGGAGCTGGGCAACATTTTTAACTACCTGGCTGTGAGGTCATGCTGATGAGCTCACAAACAGGAATTCTGATGTTGGCCTGCCTCTGGGCTGTGGCCTCACCACTTTAAAATAAAAAAAATAAAATAAAATAAACCAGAAGGCTCTGGTATCCCTGAACCTGGAGCTGATGACCTAAGAAATGTACCTTCTCCCAAGACATTATCCTCCCATCTGAGGTCAGTGGCATCCTCCCGTGCTGAGCAGAAGTGACACAGGTGAGCAGAGAAAAGCCCCCGCACCTAAGAATCAGCTCAGTAATGTACAAACAGACTTCGAGATTGCAAGTTGTCATTTTGGTGAAGTTTCAAACACTTTTTGTTAGGTTATATTAAAGAATTCTGAAAACTGAGTTGGAAGTAAATGATAAACTTAATATAAGAGCTTGACATTCTAACACACTGCTAACCTTACCAACCCCAATATTCACTCCATTACTAAGATGATTGAAGATTAAGGCGTGTAAGAAGGTTATTTCAAAACTGACAGAAGTGCAAGACCTCACCAAAGGTCTGGAACGGTATACATCTGCTAGGAAAAGGCAAAATGTTTTTTTTTTCTTCTGAGTTTTGGAGTTTACAAGCCAGTAAAGAATAGACTAAGGATTTGAGAAATTAAAAAAAAAAAACGGGGCTGGAGGTGTAGCTCAAGTGGTAGAGCTCCTGCTTTGCAAACATGAAGCCCTGAGTTCAAACCTTAGACCCAGTAAAAAAAAAAAATTTTTTTTTACAGTGTTTGGGATTGAACCCAGGGTCTGTTGCATAATTGGCAATGTTCTACAACTAAGCTAAGCTCCCAGTCCTAAAAACTTCTTTTCATTTTGCTATTTCTATAGGGCGGGAGGTAGTGGCTCATGCCTATAATCCCAGCTACTCAGGAAATGGAGAATGGGAGGATTCAAGACCGGCCCAGGCAAAAGTTAGTGACACCCTATTTAAACCAATTTCAACCAACAGAGTGGTGGTATGTTCCTATCATTCCCGCTACATGGAAAGATAAATAGGAAGATCTTGGTCCACGAAGCCTAGGCAAAAACAGGAGACCCTATCAGAAAAATAAGTAAAACAAAAAAAGCCAGGGACTTAGCTCAAGTGATAGAGTGCGTGCCTAGAAGCATAAGGCCCCAAGTTCAAACCCCAGTACTGAAAAAAAAAAATTAGTACTGGGGTTTGAACTCGGGGCCTACACCTTGAGCCACTCTTGCCAGCCCTTTTCTGTAATGGGTTTTTTCAAGATAGAGTCTCTTGAACTATTTGCCTGGGCTGGCTTCAAACCACAATCTTCCTGATCTCTTTCTCCTGAGTAGCTAGGATTGCAGGCATGAGCCACTGGCGCCCAACTAAAATTAGTTTTTTTTAAATTTTATTTTAGCATTTTTACATTTACTTACCCGTGCCTACATTATTTAGGCCACCTTCCCCCGTCCCCCCCCTTAATTACTTCTAAGTGGCCAAATATTTTTGAGTTGGAAGAACTGCAACAAAGGATTAATAATGATCATCTCCAAGTGATGGATTATTGGTAGCTTTTATTCCTTGTGTCTTCATGGTCTCTCAAATTCTATCTTTGTCTTTTGTTTATCTTCTCTGAGATAGGCAGGGTCTCATAGCCCTGGCTGGCCTAAGAAATCACAAGGCTCCTGTCTCCCAAGTACTGAGAATACAGGCATGCATCGCCATTCCTGTTTTCTCAAGTTGTATTTAGTTAGTGAGTAAAATTAATCTCAAAGGCAGGGGAAAAAATTATCTTTCTGAGCTCCAGTAAAATGGCTTCAACTGAAAGTAAAGAAAGCAACTCTCTGTGCTGCTTTCTATCAGGATGTGACGGCAGCACAATGAAGTCAGGACAAATTTGAGCATGCACAGTGATCAGCCTGGCTGTTCACCCAGCCCGTTTCTTTATCATCCTTGATTCACATCTTACGCCCTGTCTCCTTTAGCAGTTTACTTCAGCCATGTGTCTGAATTCTGGACACAGGGTGAGAGGAATAAGTGAGCAGTGTGCTGCTTCTAGCCCTGGACCACGTGCAATCCCCATAGTCTTTGTCCTTCCCGTGGCTTGATAGAGATGAGCTGAACCCCTGCCTAGAAGTGCCTGCTGAGGATGGTGGATTTGGGGGACAGGAGAGGCCTGCATCCCTCAATCACTTCTCCCCATTTCCCCATCAGAAAATACCTACTCTGGACTTTTCCAGAACTTACTCCCATTAACTTAAGTTACTAAAATTAGTGGGGCTAGCTGAGCGCAGGTGGCTTATGCCTGATCCTAGCTACTCAGGAGGCAAACATCAGGAGGATGGCAGTCGAAGACAACCCAGGCAAATAGTTCACCAGACCCTACCTCACAGGAGTGGCTCAAGTGGTAAGAGCACCTTCCTAGCAACCATGAGGCCCTAAGTACAAACCAAAAAAAAATAAAATAAAATAATATTAGCTGGGCTACTTGTCATAGTGGCTAGCTTTATCTTACCTAATGGCAAAGCAGGAAAGAGATAAAAAAAAACTTTGCTTAGGACTCTGGAATCATCTTGGCTAAGTCAACCACTCTAAGAAATTAATTATTAAGATAGCATCAGGGATAGAGATGCTTCATACCTACGATGCTTTGGATGGTGCCACAAAACTGGAATCATCTAAACCGAGTCCGGCTGACTAATTCTAAATATGTATTGTTTTCACCATTAAAAAAAAGCTTCATACCACAAAAAGCATAATAATATGAATAATAAATAAAAGTACTCTATTTTCTTAAAAGCAAAAAGACATTTTACTGGCAAGAACAAAATAGGTTTAAAAAGTGCATGGGGGTCGGTGGAGTTGCTTAAGCAGTAAGAGTGAAGCCATGATTTCAAACCCAGCACCACCAAAAAATAAATAATAAATAAAATTTTAAAAAAGAACATGGGATTGATTACCATGCACTAAAACACTAAAGTATTCAGACAAAACTGGCATTTGTTGCTTTTTGGTTTGGAGATTCTTCTTTTTGAGCTAGATTCCAGCCCTGGATAAGACTGATGACAAGTTGATCAGTATTCAAGTTGGGTGATGGTACTATTCCTTCTTCTTTTGTATGTGTTTGAAACTTTCCATAATTAAAAAGTTTTACTACAGGAGAGCTAAATATTTTAGTAAAATTCAATGCCCCCATTCTCCCTGACTCAATACCCTAAAAAGAGACTTAACAAATTTATAGTTCCTCAAAACAAGCAGTTTCCAAAAACAAGAATGGAGTACACTCTGTCTCCTGAGTAGTTAGGATTACAGGCATGAGCCACTGGCAAATGGCCGGACTTCTTACAAGTTTTTTTCCCCTCCACTTATTTTTTAATGCCATGGCTCAAAAAATGTACGAAAAGCAAGCTAGACTGAGAAATGAAACACCTGGATTCTGTCCCAGCTAGATGACTCTGAACAACTTATTTAACCACTCTCCAGACCTCAGTATTCTCATTTATAACCTGAGGATAGTAACCTATTAACATCTACCAGCTGTTTGGTTTCCTAGTAGAGAAAGGTAAAGGATTCAGAAGTGAAAGAAATGTGATTATGCTCTCTCTTTGCCAAAGTAGAACTACTCTGCCATCAGTGAGGAAGGAACCCAAATCAGATAAGACACTTCTAATAAGAGCAGTCTCCTGGCACTACCAGATCAGCAGTGAATCACATGTCCACATTTCAGCTGGGACCCTTTTACAGTCTGTTCCCCCATCAGCAAAATGAAAATTCTCTTCTATTTACTAAACCTGCAAATTACATGGAAGCCAAAGGAGAGCTGAAAAACTGTGCAATGAATTTAGCCTGCCAGGAGAGGGAGTTAACACCAAGCTTCCAGAACAGCCTGGTATGGAAGTCCAAACTTCAGTTCAGCCTTGCTGGACAACCTGAGGAAATAGTACTAAAGGTCCAGAGACTTACCTGCAGCCAGCCGCATTAAGACTTCAGCGAACCCTTCAATTCTAAAATGCCGTATGTCCATGAATTGAGAGGCACAAGGAAAGGGGGAAGACGATCTGAGAGCAATTAAAGTTTAGTCTGAGAGAAAGATGTCCTGGATGCTGGTTTTCAAGTACGGCCTCAAGAGAAAAATTAAAAGGCTAGGTTCTAACATCATCTCCCTGGATTTGGGAGGTTCATTCACAGCTTAATCCTGTCCCCTGAAGTCACGGTTATATAAATGTCTGTTGTATGCTGTGTCACTTGCTGTCCCCCTCCCCCAACACAGTGTAACCTGAGCTGTTTAGCCTAAGCCACTGAAAACACAGGACACTCAGTAGCTTTCCAAACTCACAAAAGAAAGTCGTATTTCTATATATCCAGAAAAGACTGGAAGAGACAAATAAGACATTGGCACATGTTCTTCTACTCAAGTATTTCAACTTTACAAGTGGACTATAAAAACCAATCCATAAGTTTATATGCTTCCTTGGAGCCAATATAAAAATGTTCATGTCCTAGCTGAATGGAGCTTAAGGCCCTAGGAGGTAAACACAGAGTAAGGCCCGTCTCCCATGCAGGTTCATCTATATAACCAAGACCCACTCTGTACTTGCCACATGCACTCACCCCACGCCAAGGACTCTAACAAAGAATATAAGGAAATAATTTTAAAACTAAGAAAATGGGGGCATGGCTTAAGTGGTATCCCACATGCCTAGCAAGTTGAATCCCCAGGATTGTCAAAAACAAATTAAATAAAAATTTAAAAGGGGGCTGGCGAAGTGCTCAAGTGGTAAAAGCACTAGCCTAGCAAGTGTGAGGCCCAGAGTTCAATCCCCAGTACTGCCAAAAAAATTAGATTAAATTAAAATAAAATAAAGGGAATAGCAGGAGACACAGGCCACAGTCACAGTCTTCTACTCTGCCTTCTCTCCACTGCTCAGGCCACTGAGCATTCATTTGCTAGCGAACACTACTGAATCACATGCTCTACCGCCTTGTTTGCATTTCACACCATGACTAAGTTCCCTATGTCCTGCCATCAGATTTCACTTATCTTGGTATCCATGGTGAGAAACAGTGCTGGGCACCTGATGAGGAAAGCAGCATTAGAGGGTTTCCCAACCCTGGAGACTTTTTAAAAGTAGGACAAGGAGCAAGGGCGTGGTGAGGCACACCTATAATCCCAGCACACAGAAGTCTTACACTGGAGGATTGAAAGTTTGCGAGCACTCTGGGCTACATAGTGAGACCCTGTCTCAAAAAGAGGGAAAAAAAAAATGTAGGTTAAAGAAGCTAGGAGCATGCTTGGGTCCCAGTGGTTCACACCTATAATCCTAGCGACTCAGGAGACAGACATCAGGAGGATCCTAGTTAGAAGCCAGAGTAGGCAAATAATTCACGAGACCCTGTCTCAAAAATACCCAGTCCCAAGGACTGGTGGAGTAGCTCAAGGTGTAGGCCCTGAGTTCAAATCCCAGTACCGCAAAAAAAAAAAAAAAAAGAAAGAAAAAGGGAGCTATGAGCAAACTGTTCAATTACTACTTCCAGTGAATAGCATGAGCTTTATGTCTCAAATTAGATAATTACATTTATTGACAGTGCTGTACTTTCTAGAATAGCACTATCCAAATGAGTAATTTTGAAACTTCTAATGACCATATTTTTAAAAATCAAAAAAGGGTGAAATTAGCTTTAATTTTAATGTAATATATCCAAAATATTATTTAAAAATATAATCAATAGAAAATGAACATTTGACATTCTTTTTTCCCATACTAGGTCTCTGAACTCCACTCTGTTTTCTTCACTTACAGCACATCACAATTTTGACTTGCCTCATTTCTTTTTTATTTTATTTTCTTGGTGGTTTCTGCAATTTGAATTCAGGACTGTGCTCTGACAAGGCAGGCACACTACCACTTAAGCCATGCCACCAGCCGTTTTTGCTTTCATTATTTTTCAAATAGGGTCTTGAATTTATGCCCGACTTAACCTGAACCATGACTTTCCTGATCTCTAAACTCTCAAGTAGCTAAGATTATAGGTGTCCATCATGGCTGGCTTGGACTCACCACATTTCAAATGTTCCAAAGACACATGACCCAAGAACAGTGGTACATGCCTGTAGTCCCAGCTACATGCCAGGCTGAGGCAAAAGGATCACTTGAGCCCAGAGTGCAGAGCTAGCATGGGCAACATAGCAAGACCCCCATCTCAAAAAAGAGGGAAGAAAGGGAGAGGAGGGAGGGAAGAAAGGAAGCAAGGAAGGAGGAAGGAAAGGAAGGAGACTCATGTGGCTTGTAGCTACTGAATTGGGCAGCACAGGCCTAGAATAAGCATTCTTAGAGTCAGATAGAAAATAAAGTAGTTCCTCTCAGTATCTACAGTATTATTGCCAATCAGATACCCCTGGCATGTAACATTCATCTTTCATATGCCATCAAAACACAGAAGGAAAAGAGCAGAGAAAAGTAAAGATCTTCAACATAAAGCTGTGAATAACTTAATTGTTCTAAGGATAAGGAAAGGAAAAAAATGGTACTCACAGTGAGAGGACATTTACAATCTCAATCTGACAGGTGAGACATAATGCGTAAGGAAGCCCTGCTGGTAGCACAAGGCACTGCCCAGCAAAACTGATAGCTCAGCACTAAGAGTTTGAAAACACACCCACACAAAACTCAAAACAAAATACAGAATAAGTGTGTCTCAAGATACAAGAAAGAAACCTGAGAGTGAAAGGCTGGCAGATTTAAGGCCAACAAAGCAGACGGCACCCTTTCAAGTACAGAGGATTGAGCTTTCTTTCCACTGAAGCAGCACCATGCCTACTTTTTCTTTCTGATTGCAGGAAACCACACAGTATCAAGGAATGGCATGTTAAGAATATGTGGAGCCAGGCATGGTTGTGTACACTTGTAATCCCAACACAAAGATCACAGGTTCAATTCTAGGCTCTGTAGCCTAGGCTCTCTCAGAAAGAAAAAAAAAAAAGAATATGTAGAAATAATAGCCTTTGGGACTGAAGGAGAAAACTGTAGGAGAAAACAAATGTGAAGGATAAGTCTACCGTATCAATAATTCGTTTCTCACAAACCTGATATCCTCACCACACAAACCCAAATTCTAGTTAAGTGCCTTCGACTTACAAATAGCCTATTAGCCATCATTTAAAATGTAAGACCCAAGCCAGGCGCCAGGTCTAGGATTATAGGCCTATAATCCTAGCTGTGCGACAGGCAGAGATCAGGAGGATTCTAGTCTGAAACCAGCCAGGCAAATAGTTTGAGACTCTATCTCAAAAAAATCCTTCAGGAAAAAAAAAAAGGCTGGTGGAGTGACTCACTCCACTCAGGGTGTAGGCCCTGAATTCAAACCCCGGTACTGCTAAATAAATAAATAAATAAAATTTAAGACCCAGCAGGTATGCTTGGTGGCACAGACATGTAATCCCAGCACTTAGGAGGCAGAAGCAGGAGTGTCAAGTTTGAGGCCAGCCTGGGCTACAGAGCAAGACCCTGTCTTGAACACACATGAGGACAACAACAAAGTAGACCCAGAGGAAAAAAAATCTTAACTGTTCCATTGTCCCAAATTTTAACATCTCTAAAACTTTTTTGTTGTTATTGTACTGGGGATCAAACACTGGCCTGTTGCATGCTAGGCAAACACGCAGCCTCTGTACTACATCCCCGGTCCCTAACGTCCGGAAATACAGAATACTCCCTGTCCACACCTAAGGCAGAATAGCCAAATAAATACATGATAACAAGCATGGCAATCGGTGTCTGCCCCAACAACATTCCTGGGGTCCAGAGGATAAAACCACAGGGGAAGCAGCAAGGAACATTGACTGTAAGGTAGAGTATCTAGAAAGCACAGGAGTAGTCAGTCAATGCAAACGGATGAAAGGTGACACAAAGCTACTTCAGGTGGTCAATTTGTTCAGGCCTCTCAGAAGCTTGCCCCCAGAACAAGGGGAAATGTTTGTGATGCCACCAAATGCAGTTTAGGCCATTAGCCACAAAAGAGACACTGTTTCAAATCAGTGTAATAATGAGTAACTCTGAAAGAGAGAATGTGACACTGGGCACTGGAGCCCTTTGGTTTCAGCAGCAGTTCAGAAACTGATTTCAGGCTCATAGAATAAAATCTTACCCTGGGTGAGAATTCTACCATGGTTGGTGCCTGACAGGCTAGAGAGGGAAACAGCAAAGTGTCCCATTAACCTTAACTCTCCATCTCCAGTATAGCATGCTAAGACTCAGAAAGAAAAAACAAAACAAAACCCTAGCAAAGAGTCAGGTGCTCGTGGCTCACTCCTGTAAGCCTAACTACTCAGGAGGCAGAGATCAGGAGGATTGAGGTTCAAAGCCAGCCTGGGCAAAATAGTTCCCAAGACCCTATCTCATCTCAAAAAACCCATCATAAAAAAAAAAGGGCTGGTGGGGTGGCTCCATGTAGAGGCCCTGAGTTCAAACTCCAGTAGCACAAAAAAAAAAAAAGACTAGTAAAGAAAAAAGGCCATACAGCCCTGTCAGTAATAAGTATACATAAGTAACACAAAATAATGTTCCGAAGTGGAAAGAGATGGGAATCCATCATCAGCAGGGTATACCTAAAAGAGTGGAGCAGTGTCTCACACTTGTTCAGGGAACATGGAAAGGTGAATGATTTCATAGCATCTGGAAATAATGGTGTTCTTAAATAGAATACTACAAAATACTAAGACATAGCACAAAGTTTAAAATTTCTAAATATGCAGAAAAGGAGCCTAAGACTTAGAACAAACTAATTAAAAACCCCTATACAAAGTGAAAAAGAAAATTAAGAAAGCCACTGTCCATTACTTAATTTTTCATATACACTAGAAAAAGCAACATCTTAGTCTAGCTTGAAAATGACCCCCAAAGACCTCAGGGCTAAAGAACCTTATAAGGACTGAAAATTGCCTCTGATGCCTCTCATAGCTCATTCAAGTTACTTTATTTTTATACCAGTTTTAATAAACTTAGTTAATCCATAAACTGAAGACACAGCTGGTTATTACACTTGTGTACTGCTAAATTTATACATATCACAAATCATTATAAAGCATGGCACAAAATAATAAAATAAGTGAAAAGAGGGAAAAAAGAACCAGGTTGAGATTACTCCTGTAATCCCAGCACTTACAGGCTAAGGCAGGATTATGAGTTCAATGCCAGACTCAGCTATATAGTGAGATGCTGTCCAAAAAAAAAGGTGGAAATAGAAGACTGACAGTCCAAGAGCATGATACCCTACCTGAAAAACAAACAAAAAAATGACTCAAGTGATAGAGCATCTACCTAGCAAGCACAAAGGCCCTGAATTCAAACCGTAGTAGCTCAAAAACAAACAAACAAACAAACAAAAAAA